CGGGTCGCCGGCCCCAGCAGCCGGGGACGTTCGCCGGGCTCCAGCAGGTGCACGCTTTGTCTCTGCCCGCGTCCCTGAGGGTGTTTCCACCCACGCCCAGGCTGCGGGCGGGGACCGCTCGGCCCTCCCCAGCCCGCACCCGCAGGTGAGCGCAACCACCCGCGCCCCGGCTGTCCCGGGCCGCGTAGTCGGCTGTCGCTATGGGAACGGCTGGTGCCCTGACGGCGCCTGTTCTGGGTGGGGACCCCGCGGTGAAGGCAGCTCGGAGCCCCTAAAGCCCTAGAGCTGTCTGTCTCGACAGGTCGAGCCAGAAAAGCCTGATGAAAAGGGGATCCTCCATCCCCCTCTTCTCATTTTTTATTTCTCAGGCATTGGCGGTTAATCAGAGAGAGGCGTGGATGTGTTTACAAGATGTGAGTTGTGTTCTTTCCACCTTTACCTTCTGAGGGCTTTTTATGCCTCACGGTGACAGGTGGAAATCACGACCCAGAAGGGCAGCATGAAGCCGGTGAAGAAAAACAAAGCGGAAGAACCTGAATTGGAGCCCCTGTGCTGCTGCGAGTACATAGATCGAAATGGGGAAAAGAACCACGTGGCTGCTTGTTTGTGTGATTGCCAAGATCTCGATGAAGGGTGTGATAGGTAAGAGCAGAGTGTTTCTTGATGCTGACCCCACTGGCCCTTTTGAGAACTGCGTATACTTTCGGCTTGGCCATCCGCAGCATGGGAATTTGCTCTTCATTCTGTTTCCAGTTATCTACAGTTGAGAGTAGTCTTCTCTGTCAAGTGTGAGGATTTTTAAAAGATACATTATCACTCAGTAGTGCACTGAGTAATTGTTCAGCTCAGTTTATTAAGACATTATTAGTTTTCATTTAAAGGGAGAAGATGATGGAGAGAATGGGCGGATAAAGGGACAGTAGACAAGATAAATGTATGGAAAATGCAGGCCAACAGAATCTGTAAGTTTAAAATGAACACATTAATACTGGAAAGTTCCTACATTCTCAGTAGTCTCTGCATTCAGAGACTGACACGTTGGGCCCAGATTGCACTTGGCCACAAAAGGCCTTGAGGGTTGAAAGATCATTTTCATGCTGTTGGAATCAGTCTCACTCCTTGTTTCTGGGGAGGAAGTGCAGCCAGAAGGCATGTCCCTCCCTTGGACTGGCTGTTTTAAACATGAGCAGCAATACTGTCTTGATTGATCCTATTGTATTTGGCTCTTATTTTCTCCATTATCTCGTGTTGGAAATTGCTATCCAAAAAGGTAATTTTTTAACATTTCTGAAAAAACTTTGTACCAAATGGTAATAATCTGGTTTTTATCCATCTTCTAGATAATTATATATTTAAAACTTTTTATCACATGGAAAGCATAATGTGGGGAGAAAAAGAATGGGGGAAACTTGCTTTCCCCATTAATAATTACTTCTGGTTGAAAAAAATCATTGCAATGGCAAATCGCTGACTTAGAGCTTAGTGGGTTAATCTCGCCATGAGAAACATTCTTGTAGACTTCTGTAGTCTAGTACCCATAATCCCTTTGTGATTCTTCCTTAACAGTGTCTATTGTCTTTCTTACGGGTGTCTTTAAACATGAGTTCTTTAAACTTAGTCTGAAATCCGTACTGAAAAAATGGAGCACTTTGCTCTAAATGCAGAAATAATGCCTTTTCCATAATCTCCATCACTCAAGTCCGCATCTTTTCCATTAAGCTGGCTCTTCCTCCCTCCCAGCCCTTGAGTCCTGGGCTGTCCCTGAGTTCTCTTCTCTCCATACCCTTCTCTGGAGATAAGCTTCCAGAATTTCCACAGACCCTGTGTTCTATATGTCTTCCATTCACGTCCAAGTCTAGCCCTATTTTTTAAAGTCCTAAATTTCTAAAATCAACGTATCATTCCTTAAACTGTTCCTTTCCCTACTAGTCCAAGTGTGGAAAAAAGTCAGTACCACCTGTCACCAAGCTCACTCATTCGACTCTTCCTTATGTAGACCTGTGCCCTATGGAACTGGTTTGCTGCCTTGACCCAGGATGGGTTTTGCGCTGCACACACCTGTCTCCACTGGAACGCCTCCCTGCCCCCTCTCCACCTGTACAGATAACTGGCTGGCAGTCAAGGTCGAGCACAGACCCCACCTTCCCCACGCCTCTGATGACTCTCCTCCAAGCACACTGTCTGAATGTAATAGTTCATTGGGCAATTTTGCTGCTGTTACTTATCTAACATTTCTTGAATTCCTGTGTTGTTTTCACAGCTAGATTGTAAATTTGAGATTTTTATGTCTCTACACCCACCCGAGTCTGAACAGTGCTTGTATGGAATATGTATGTATTCCTATGTATTTGTTTCATGGAGAAGTGGTTTTAACTGTTAAATACCTAAGCATTATCTTCTCATTCATATTAGAAAGTGAAACATGAATCTGAAAAGCTCATGGTTAGTAGTAAGGAGGTAGAATGCTTGGTCTTTGGCTCCTTTATCACTTATCTGCTGTTTGGCCTACAGTGTTGAGTGGTTTTTAATTCAGCAAACCCATGTGAAGCGCCTTCTCTTTGTGCTCTTTCTGAATAGATGGATCACATGTAAGTCCGTGGGGCCAGAGACCTGTGAAAGAATCATGGATACAATCTCTGACCGCCTCCGAATTCCTTGGCTCAGGGGAGCCAGAAAAGTTAACATTAGCATCCTCCCCCCACTCTTCCTGCTGCCTGTCTTCCTCCGCGTGGCTTCCTGGCACTTCCTCCTGGGGGTGGTGGTTTTGACCTCCCTCCCTGTGCTGGCTCTGTGGTACTACTACCTCACTCACAGAAGGAAAGAACAGACTCTGTTTTTCCTGAGCCTCGGACTCTTCTCTCTGGGCTACATGTACTACGTGTTCCTGCAGGAAGTGGTCCCCAAAGGGCGTGTGGGGCCCACCCGGCTGGCTCTCCTGACCTGCGGGTTATTTCTGATACTCCTCGCCTTGTACAGAGCCAAGGGCAATCCAGGCTACCTCAGACACCCAGCGAGCAATGACAGGTCTCCAAGCGGCAGCCAGACTGAGTGCTTGATCAGAAAAGGGCCGGACAAGACCAAAGGGTTCCCTGGCGCGGACCTGTCGGGCGGTCTCAACAACCGCATGCCCAAGGACGAGGTCAAGGGCTCCTGCAGGACAGCGGCTGGCAGCCCCGCCAAGGTGAAGGAGGACTGGTGTGCCAGGTGCCAGCTGGTGCGGCCGGCCCGGGCGTGGCACTGCCGGATCTGCGGCGTCTGTGTGAGGAGGATGGATCACCACTGTGTCTGGTATGTTGGAGAAATATGGAGGCTTGCGGAGGGTACATTCACATGCGATTCTGGCCGGGCTTGATCTCCCTTTGTGCCGTCCTCAAGTCTCTCTCCTTCCCGGCTTTACACCTTGTGGATATTTGTGGGCTGTTCTGATGTTCCCACTTAGTCATCAGTTTTTCAAGTTTCACAAATTTAGTTCTTTTCAGTCATTTCCTGAGGTTTTTTTTTTTTTTCCCCTTTTGCTTTCTCTTTTGAGCTGCCCCTCGTTTTTCTTCTCCTTTCTGAGAGAGGAGTATCTACAGTTGAAAGATTTTTTTTTTACAGATTGTTTTTCGGAATTGGTATAGGTGTATGTCCCCATGCTCACAGAGATCAAGGAAGTGTTTTCCTGTATTCTAAAGTGACTCTTGTCCTCTGACGATGTATACATCCCTCATCATTTTGATGCTACCAGGGATTTCTAGTCTACCTTATTGAGTGAAAGCCTTGCCAGATAGTCCCTATTTGGTTATTTGTGGAGAGGTAGGCTTTTTTGGTACCTCCCTGCTGGCTAGTGACAGATGAGGATACGTGAGGCCCCTAAGATGTGCAGTACAACTTTTAAAGAAAATGTTGCAGCTTTACTGCACAAATCATGCCATTTGGTTTTTATTTTTGTTGAGGGGGAAGTGAGGAGGTAATTAGGTTTATTTATTTATTTTAATGGAGGTACTGGGGATTGAACCCAGGACCTCATGCTTGCCAAATACACACTCTACCACTGAGTTATACCCTCCCCACAACTGCGTCAATCTTAAAGGGATATGATTAATTCAGATGTGAACGCTTTAAGTAGCTGTTTGCAACTTTATCACTCTTGAGGTGTTTGTGGTCAGTGAATTATGCCTTTTACGTCTAGGATTCTGGTCTCCTCAGAAAGGGATGTGGGGCAGGGTAAGGGTGCAGACAGCCGGGAGGGCACAGGAGTGGACCTCAAGGTCAGGGCACAGGACCCAGGGACAGCTCTTTTCTGGGGCTTTGTCTTTAGGAGTAAACAGGTGTTTTCATTCTTAGGTTTTCCTCGTCTCTGTCTTCATTTATCCTCATGAGTGCCTGTGTGTGCCTATGTCTGTGTGCATGTGTGTGTGTGCATGCGTTTGTGTGCATGCGGGATGGTGGTGGTGGTGGGGGCCCGTTAACAAGTGCTGGTTTGCAGAGGGCCTGACAGCCTCAGCTGTGAGCTGGTCTCTGCCCACTGGGGCATCCTGTGCTTGTCCTTAAACTAATGATAGATTTCTCTTTGCAAAGAGCAGAGAATAGAAGACTGTATCTCTCAGCAGACAGGTTTTTAATTCCCTAAAATTGAAAAACAAGAAAACTTACTTTTTAAAACTGAAATTCACATTATCCCTGTTTTAAAAGCTTTCTTGTTTATAAGTGAATTATACAGAGAACTTCTTAAAACATGTTTGCTTTTCTCTCCCCTGTGCTGTTTTGAGGATAAATAGCTGTGTCGGAGAATCAAATCATCAAGCATTTATACTTGCCCTTTTGATCTTCCTGCTCACCTCGATGTACGGGATAACACTGACCTTGGACACCATTTGTAGAGACAGAAGTGTCTTCACAGCTCTCTTCTATTGCCCTGGAGTTTATGCAAATTACAGGTGAGACATGGATACCATGCACAGGGGCCCCCGGAGGAGGGAGTGGATTTGCCGTGAAGTACAGGGCTGTGATTTGCTGCTAGGTGGGGCGTTTTCACCCAGAACAGAGCAGCTCTGGGATGCTGGGTATCCCTGAAATTGCCAGCACGGTTGTATGGCGGACATGAGCATTTTTCTAGGGGGATGTCAGAAGGAACGCTGACCTTAGAAAGTGAGGAACTAGTGCTCTCCACATAGGACGAGACTGACTCAGGGTCTGCAGAGTCAAATGACCCCTGGCATGCTCGAGGTAGTGACGGCGGACCTGAGATGATAACTGAAGTAGCAGTGTCCAGTCTCTGTGTTGTATGGGGTCTCTTTTGTCTTGAATATCAGGGAACTCCTCACTTGACTGCTGCTTCCTGGTGCTTTTTAGCCCAATCTTGATTTACTGCTTCTGACGCTTTAGTGAAGTGCTCACAATCTCTGTGACCTTTCTTTTCTATTTAACCTCCATTGGTTTCTCCTGTTCTACTTTTTTTTAAAAAATCACCACTCATGATTACTGTGGTATCTAGGTCAAAATTTCCTTCAGCGTTTTTAGGTTGGGGCACATTTATATAGTGTGAAGATCTCCGTGCTTTAGCAGAAGCTGGAATTTTTTAGCTTTGGCCCAGCCTCCCCCTCCCCCAAAGCCACAGGCCCCACCCCACCCCACCCCTACCTGTGTTCTTTGTTTCACCCCCTCCAGCAGTTTCCTGACACGGGTGCCCTGTGGGGCTCTAGTCCCCTGTCTGAGCTGGGGCAGCTCTGCCCCCAAGGTCCTTTACTTTCTTCTCACTGTTTTCAGTGCGGGCACTTCTTTTACGAGTCACCATTAAAGATCTAGACGTTCTTGGCACTGGAATAGATGGGCCCTCCTCCTGAGGTTAAGGTCCTTTCTCCTCGGTGCTGAGTCTCACAGGTTGTAAAATACTTCAGTAACTACTCTTCTTAGTGGGTTGTGATAAGTGTCCGAGAGCAGAGCGTGTCTGTTTGTAAGCACGGGTTTTCTAGACTTCTGTGGGCCACGTAAACGAAATGAGGAACATAGTCTTGCCACTGGCTCTCACTGCTGTGGGCAGGCAATTCATGTCTCCTCATGGGGCTTAACTGTGGTGGTTTAATCATCTGAGGTCCCTTTCAGCTTAACAAGTGAGGACTCTGAATTTATTTCCTGCTATCTCATTTGCAAACATTTGACTGAAAATAATCAATTGGCAGACAGGAACAGGCAGCCTCTCACCATCTTATTAATAAGCTGGCGGGCTTTCTTGTCCCGTGTGATCCTGTGTGGGTTTAGGAAGCAGGATTTGAACTGGGCAGGGGCTCCTCCAGAGCCGCTGAGAGGAGGGCGGCTGGTGCGGGCAGCGGTCCTACCTGCGTCCACCAGCGTCGCACCGAAAAGAACGGAGACGTGCGGCTCCGCGCTGTTCCTGGGTTCGCACTCCCAGCTTCCTTGAGGACGTTTATAGCAATCTCATGGTGCCTGCCTTTTCTTCTGAGTTAAGAATAATTGAGGGATTATTCACTCAACAAACACATTTTGAATGCTGTGATGGCAGGCAGTTTGTTGGGTGTGTGGGGGATGCAAAATGCACACAGTCATTGTTTAGTATCACCTACTAGAAAGAGAGTCCCCAATAATTATAAAACAGAGCATGTTAGCAGTCTTGAGTTAAGCAGGCTGTTGGTGTTGCGGGGATAGAAAAGTATCTTCCAGTTGGGGTGAGGGGAAGGCGCCAGAGGCCTTAGGAGTAAGTCCTGCATGTGTGCAGTGTCACAACGGGGACAGCTCCCTGCCTGTGAAGTGGGCAGCCCTGACCCGCCTCTTCCCCCTCCTAGCTCGGCTCTGTGCTTCACCTGCGTGTGGTACTCTGTGATCATCACAGCGGGCATGGCCTACATCTTCCTGATCCAGCTGATAAACATCAGCTACAATGTGACCGAGAGGGAAGTGCAGCAGGCCCTTCGGCAGAAAACGGGGCGCCGGCTGCTCTGCGGGCTCGTCGTGGACACAGGCCAGTACAGTCGGGGCTTCCTGCGGAACTGGCACCAGTTCTCCACCCTGGGCACACACCCCTTCCACCACCCTGCTGAGGACATTGTCTGAAGTGCCTTCTGTGCGGCTCCGGGGTGGCTCCCCGCTCTGCTCCCTTGCATCGTGCACTTCAGTACACGCAGGATGCTCGCGTTTATCCCCAGTTTCTTAAAGGCATTTAGGGCCATGCTCAGGTTTAGACACTGGACTGGGAAGAAATTAATTTTTCTGACTTCACAACTTAAGAGATTTTTATATTGAAGCAGTAAAAGTAGAGCCATTCCTTTCCAGTCACCTTATTAACTAACTCAGTCACCGGAAGTTGAAAGGGTGTGATTGCTGATGCACAAATTGATAGAAGCAGTTCCCATTCATTAGTATGCGGGGGGGGGGGGGGGGCTTTGCATTAGGGTGGTTCTAGTCTCTTTCAATTCCTAACAGCCATGTGACCCTTAGTTGAGTCACTTCCCCAAGTCTCAGGTTTATCTGTCACATGGGGTTCTGATGCCTGCCCTGGTACCTCACGGAGTGGCTGGGGGTGGGGGGGGTAACGCGAGGGTCACGTGAGGGATGAGGTGTGTGGAAAGCGCTGAAAAACGACTAGAGCACCAGAGAGGCATGAAGTACTATTAGGAGAATCCTAAGACTGGAAAAAATGTTTGTAGGCCAGAACACTGAAGCCAATATTATTAGAGTAATCCATTTTCAGCATTTCAGTGAAAAAAAATCCCCAAATACCATGTTGTACAGTTCTGGGAACTTCTGTTTCTGAAGTATTAGACATTAACTACTCAAAGAGGGTAGAAGATGACCAGGTGGATTTACGCTGTCGTCTCATCTTGGAAGGACAGTTGATAATAATTATAATTATTGCTAGTATAATGTACAGTGAGTGGTCATGAGTTTAGGTGATGAGTTCTTATATTTATCTTATGTCTTCTGTATGTATTCTGTTTGGATTTACTCTGAGTAACTCCACTAGGCATCAGTGTTTTTTCCCTTTCCTTGTTTTGCCTGGTCAGGTGCTAGCACACTTGTGACGATGGCTGGGTGAGAACAGACACTCCTGTGGGGAACATTTGACTCTTTCCTGGGCAGGGTGGCTGGTTAATATCAAGGGCTTGACTTTTTTGTTCATGTAAGTAATTCAGACACTGTCAGTAATAGCGCTAACCAGTAATATAGCAAAACCCAGCCTTCTGGTGTTCACGTTATTCTGGTCTGAACTCTTCTTTGAGAGGCTGATTGACGCCTTCCCACTTAACTTGCACATGACTTCTCATATACCTTTCTCGAGATACAAGTATCTCACTAGGAGAGAAGAAACAGGGCATATATGGTTTCCACTAATTAATGGATTACTGTTCTTCCTTAGCTCTTCCTGACTTGTTTCTTTAATCATATCTCAAAAGGAAAAACGTGTTAAGGATTAAATATTTAGAGTGGGTCTGTGCTACCACCGAATTAAGATGAGGCAGTTTCAGATGGGAAGCAAACCCTCTTGGAATATTTGGTTCTGTACATGCACGTTTTTTTGGAACCTCAAAGAATTCATGAGCCATTACATTTGCCTTAGCTTATAGCTTAATATGGGGAAAATATTGCCAGCTTTTTCAGTCTTTCTGTGCATGCTGCTGTAGCAAGAGGTTTATAAAGGTTGAGAAAAAATATTGCTACTTCTACGACTCTACCCTCTGCAGCACCATCCCTAGCCCTGCCGTTTATCGGGGCTGTCCTTAAGCCAGGCACCACGTTGCTATACAAGCTTGTTGTTGGTCTCCCCAGAGACGGATTGTTTAACGAACGAGAGGCTCTGTATTCCACAGGGATGAGCCAAAGAACACGTGTGGGGATGTTAGCTGAGTCTGTGGTTTACTGTACAGTGATGCCCTATCTCTGGCCCAGAATCAAGCATTCATTTGGAATTAACATTGGAGCTGATAAAATTAATTCCTTTCCATATAGGTTTGAGATCAGAGAGAGGGCAGTAATGTCAAAGACAGCACACGTGGCCTGAAATCTCTGCTTGTAGTCTCTTGAGTGCCAGATGTATAGCCAAATCTGATTGTCTAGTGGTTGATAATGAAATTCATAGAAGTGTTAATATAGTCAGCAATTTTGGCCTCTTGCCAGATATTTAACAATCAAAATGTGATGTGCTGACGATGAAGAGCACCCAGGAGACCAGCCATTTGGCGGAATTAGGAATGATACCACTTTTATAACCACCACCCCTAACGGGGTTACCGGGATGGGGCAACTCACTCAGATGAGGACTCCCTGTGTATTATTCTGGCTTGGAGTTAAGGTGCTTGTTTGAAGTTCCTTGAGAACTTCATGATTGGCAGCTTACAGAAGAAAGCTCAAGACTTTGAAAAGCTCAGTGGATTTGTAGACGTAAAAGCCTATTGAAGTATTTGCACCAAAAAGAGCAGCAAACAAGAGGCAATCTGTGAGCTGTTTCTGTAGACTTGGGGACTTCCTTGGTCGGTACTCCTGGACTTTTAAGCCTTTGTATGATCTGGAACTGTTAGAGGGATTTTTGTCCTTTCAGAGGACAAGGCCTCTGAACGAGTGAGTCCCAGAGACACATGGGGTGATGGTGGCCGTGGGGAATTGCCCTCCAGACCTATAACCAGCAGTGTCTTGGCCATAGGAGCAGCACCCCCAACATATTTCAAAAAAGTGGGTTCCCTCCTTTCACCCCGCATCCTCAGCCTCTGTTAATAAACATACTGGATGTGGAGTTCAGTAAATGATCTACTATATTCTGACCACTTACATTACTCTCAGGCCATGTACTATTCCTGGGGAAGAGAAATGAGTCCATTTGGAAGATCTGAGGTTCAAATAGTTAAGGATCAGGATTGCACAAAGGAAGAAAATCCTTCAATATTTAGAAATGTTATGATGCTCAAAGAGTACTTTGTGGCTCCAGCTGGGCCCATCTGAAGTGAACTGACCATTAACAGCACCTCTTTGATAGGTATCTTGATGCTGCTGAAGTCAAGCCATAAGTGTGTTTTAGGGCCCTGGGCTGCTCATGTCAGGCACCTGTGTGTCTGTGTTTACGAGACTGTCAGTATCTGCTTCCCAAGTACTGGTGGCTTCCTTTGGTGGATGAAGTCATGTTGTCTTCCACTGCACCATCTGCCTAGCAGAAAGACTGCTACAAACTTTCTCTTATGCAATGGTCCTTGGTATTTCTAAAATTTTTAGCAAGAGAAAATCTTCTATACTAGAATCTTCCACTGCCAGAAAACACAATGCTGGTAAGGTTCTCTGTAATAGTGACCATCTGCTTAATAGACTATTTCCTTTGGGTAGGACACTAGCTTTTTATTATAAAACAATTAATAGAAGCAAAAATAAGAGTATCTAGAAGCACAGTTTTAACCAGGATGTTGAAAAATTAATGTTTCGTGAGGTTTAAGGATCTCTTTAAATTAGGTAGGTTTATACTGACAGCTTCATTTTAGCCACATTTTGGTACACTGCGTTTTAAAAAGGAGAATTTTCTCAAAGAAGAAATGCATAATGGAGACTTTTGTTTGAGGCGCCTGTTTGGAATCTGGCTTTCTCAGCAGCAGCTTGGCGGGTGTGCCATTTAGTCTGAGACATTGCAAAGGTGATGCGGGGCGAGAGTGAGCTGTGCTTCACTGAATGCGGAGTAAAATTCGTTACGTTCTTGTGGATACCTGTTGTGATTCATACAAACTTTTTTTGCAAAATCAGCTACATTTAGTCCTGTTTCTAATGGACAATTATCCCCACTTCCCCAAGTGTTTCGTTGTAGTAGCAGCAGTAGGCCAAAGATGGGATAGTTCACGGAGACAAATTCCTCAGAGGCTGTGACTATTGCTGAGCTGGGCTTGTGACTTTTTACGACTGTAGCCTTCCTGATGGCGCCTTTCACTTTTAGAAAATTCATTCTTTCAAAGCAGAGCTTTAAAACTAGAGCTAGTCTGTTTCAGTTATCGATGCAACTGAAACTCTGTTTCTTCAGACGACACCCCTGACCAGATGCCACATTACACAGCTGGCGGGCTCAGCTTGTCGTCCTGTGGTCTGAGTGATGGTTTGAGTTGTTAGGGCTTCGGAGCCTTTTCATTTGACCACATTTCTGGGTCTGACAGACTAAAGGAAAGCCAGGAAAATTTATGGAATATTAAATTCCGTGTTAGAGTTCATATTTAATGTAACTGGCTCAGCACCATTAAAGGGGATTTCCGAAGCCAGCTCTGGAGGCCGTGGGCTGAACATTTTGCACTGTTTTGTACTTGTGATCATATCCTCTTATCACCTCAGACTCAGACACAAGGCCTTTTAAATGGAGATTTAAAAAATTACTGCCATTTATGTGAAATAATGTACTGTGACCAAGTTGTTTAAATGGAAAATAAAGTGCTTTCTTTAAGGAAAAGTGTTGATGTTTCTCGGTGTGTCTCCTGAACTCTTCAGCTTTAAGAAAAGCCTGCTTTAGGGCTGGGCTGCCTCTTTGGCAACCTGGATGTCCCCATCCTATGGATTTAGAGTGTCCCTACCCCTGAGCTACTGTTTTCCTTATGGTTACCGTTCCAGTTCTGTAGGCCAGGAATACTGCCTACTTGGGCATTTCATTAGCAGTACCATTTTAAACCATATCTTTTAAGATACTGCAGCAAGAAACATAGGTCATTTACTAAGTTATTTACTAAGTAGGTCATTTTCTAAGTTATTTTCCTGTGTCTCTTTAGAAGGTTGTGAAAGTAGATAAAATGTCCTCGCTGGCCCAATCAGAATGTGGGCTGCTTAAGACTCAATTTCTAATTGATGCTTGAGGTGAAATAAAAATAAAATAAAGCTGAAGAGAGAAAAAACTTAAGCTTTATGGGATTTATTTAGGCCCCTGGCAGGTTTACTTGAGGAATTCACCCTTCCTTGTCTATAGGCTTGGCATGAAAATAAAATTGGTATTTTATTTCTGGGTGCTAATATCTGCCAATATTCTGTAATTGTACTATAGATAAGAAAAAACAGTGATTTAGATGGAAAGAGGTTAACCATGAGCTACTTTTAGTCCCATTTCTTCAGTGGCCATTAGTCTTAAAAAGGTTTCAGATGATGACTGTATAATCATATCAAAGGAAAAGATGAGTGGGGACAGGGACATTGTGGAAGAAACCAAGTTTGGTGTAGGGTGCTCTTTCATATCTGAGAAAATCATAGCACATCTTCCATAGAAAACAGATCTAAGTGTTGTAGCTAGATAGCCCTTCTAGGGAGTAAGAGACAATAACAGTTTATTGAGCAACACACACAATTTTATTTTACAAACTCAGATTTTCAACTTACCAAATAGTAGTTACCTCGGGGCTTGAGGGACTTTCTCATTTTACTCTTATTTTACTACCCGTGCATCTACTACACGAATTTGTTGTAATGAACATGTATTTTGTAATGAAGATTTTTTTCTAGCAGGTACCCTTTCAGACAGTTCACAGGAGTGTTTTGTCAGTCTTTATGTTCTTCAGCACTTTGAAGATGAAAACATTCTTTGAATTCAAGGTAAGTATCTCAACAGAAAGATGAAAACATTCTTTGAATTCAAGGTAAGTATCTCAACAGATCAAACTGAGCTGAGGACTAGAAGACAGAACGAGTGTGTTGTTTAGAAGTTGCAATCAGGAGCGTGAACAAACTGCTGGGCTGCTTTGATAGAGTCTAACTTTTGGAACTGCCTTCTTGCTTATCAGAGTGCACTGAAGAGAGGTATCTTTGGTGCCCCCACTTCTCTGAAGCCAGGACACGCTGCTATCCTTGGCAGCAGCTGCCTAGAGAACCTTTTGATCCGTGGTTTTCCATCGGGGTGGGCAAAAGGGACAGGGTCTGGCAGAATGCCTGTTGCTGCTGCTAAGGTACTAGACAGCTGACCCTCCTTTTCTAAGTACTCACTACTTTTAATTTGTATTTAATTAAAATTACATTTGTCAGCAATTCACCTTACATTATAAGGACCCATTTTCCTTCTCAGCCTCAGGCAAGCAAACACTTGTCTTTTTTAAAGTTTATGATACTATAAATATATAAGATAGGATACATTTGAACAGCAGAGCTCTAGACTGTTCGACTGTTCCTTTGGATGGTCCCGCTGTGATAAATGCTTCAGCGGACTGACAAGCAATCCACGAGAAACCAAGAAGGAAGTTCAAAGTCACAAAATAATTTCTCTGATCCAAGAGGTATGTGACAGAACATAAGCCAGGTATATGTGTGTCTGTGAGCGGGTGGAGATAACACACAGACACGCGGACTGATGCAGACCCCGTCGGCAGCCCTGGTCCGTGTTCACCGGCACACCAAGGCCTCCTCCCACCCAAGGGCCGAGCACCCGACTGCTGTATGAGTCACAGCGGTGCAAACATCCGGAAATCTGGAAGAATTTCAGCAACCTTCCTACGGAGCTGCTCTCGCCTTTCTTCTTTGCCTCTTTCTTCCTTTGTAAATTTTGCAAACTTCTTCCATGTCTGAAATGTGGTCCAGAGAATCCTCCTTTAAGAATAAGAAGGAAAAAAGTGAAATGCTAAGGAAAAGCTGACTTTCCATTGAACTGCACTGAAAACTTTATGGAAGGAATCTTTATGTGAACAAAATACGAAAGGTATGGAAATCACAATATGGGTTCAGACAGTAATTTTGTAAAGATAGAGCAACTGAGGAGGATGGGAGTGACTAGTAGGTTATCTTTTCCATCAGGTGGTCAGTGAAGCCCTCTGTGAGGTGACACCTGAGCAGAGCAGCTGGTGGCCTCTGAGTGCAGGCTGTGAGATGTCCTCCTCAAGGGACCTGATGGCAGCCCGCACCCTGTGTGCAAGACAGGACAGCGGAGTAAGGGCTCCAGTGGCGTAAGCCCTCCAGGCAGCGACGCAGGGAAAGCACATGCAGCACGTGCCAGTTATAAGCATCAAGGTCCTGGTGCTCGGCCCACTGGTAACCTCACCTCCAACAATGGTCTTTGGAATTTGAAGACAAGATACCCTAGCATTACGTTCTGAAAAATTGGTTCTGGAGGGTCACGTGTTGAAGCAAGGGTGTCTGCTGTCATAGGGAGGCAGGCGATGGCCTTTTAAAGTAGCACAACTATGGGATTCCTTAGTGCCCACTTAAGCTGAGCACCAGGGATACAGAGGCAGACCAGTCTGCCCAGGAAGGGTTCACCTGGGGGACAGATCACCTCAGTGCAGTGGGGGCTGCAGGGCTGGAGGTAAGTGCTGGTAGATCAGGGTACTGCCTGGTCTGGTGGTGAGGAGCATCAGAAGTTTTTTTAAGAGATGATGCCTGAACTGTTTTTTTTTTTTTTAATATATAACTGATTTGTATTTTTAGTGGCGGTTGAGGTAATTTTAAAGTGATAATTTGAATAGAATTGTTTTTATTTATGTTGTACTATTACATGTGAATAGAAAGTGGTATTTGTTAAATGGATGCTAAATTGTTCATAATCTTTAAAACTTTTTCCTTTTTTACAGATTTCTTTATAGATTATTACAAGATACTGGGTATGATTCCCTGTGCTATATGGTAAATCCTTGTTGCTTATCTATTTTATGTACAGTAGTTTGTATCTGCTAATCCCATATTCCTGATTTGTCCTTTCATCTATCCTTTCCCCTTCGAGAATCGTAAGTTTGTTTTCTGTGTCTGTGAGTCTGTTTCTGTTTTGTATATAAATTCATTTGTATTATTTTTAGATTCCACATATAAGTGCTATCATATAGTATTTGTTTTTCTATCTGACTTAATTCATTAAGTATAATATTCTCTAGGTCCATCCATGTTGCCACAATGGCACTATTTCATTCTTTTTATGGCTGAGTAATATTCCATTGTGTGTGTGTGTTAAATATATATTGTGTATGGGGATATATACACACACACACACCTTAAGCCAGTTGTTTGTTGATGGGCACTTGGGCTCCTTCTATGTCTTGGTTATTGTAAATTTTGAGCATTGCTGCTATGAACATTGGGATGCATGTATCTTTTTGAATTAGAGTTTTTGTTTTTTCTGGACATATACCCTGGAGGGAATTGCTGGATCATACGGTAGCTGTATTTTTAGTTTCATAAGGGAACTCCATACTATTTTCTATAGTGGATACACCAATTTACATTCCCATGAACAATGTACAAGGATTCTTCCCTTTTTTCCACACCCTCTACAGCATTTATTACTTGTAGACTTTTTGATGATGGCCATTCTGACCAGTTTTGATTTGCATTTCTCTAATAATTATTGATGTTGAACATCTCATCCTGTGCCTGTTGGCCATCTGTGTGTCTCTGGAAAAATGTCTGTTTAGGTCTTCTGCCCCTTTTTTGATTGGGTTTTTTCGATATTGAGTTGTATGAGCTATTTGTTTATTCTGGATATTAACCCCTTGTGAGTCCTGTCATTTGTGAATATTTCCCCCCATTACATAGGTTATCTTTTCATTTTGTTGATAGTATCCTTTACTATGCAAAAGCTTTTAAGTTTGATTAGATCTCATTTGTTTACTTTTATTTCTTTTGCTTTCGGAGACAGATCTAAGAAAATATTGCTACGGTTTATGTCCAGGAATGTCTTGCCTATGTTCTCTTCTAGGAGGTTTTATGGTGATATATCTTAACATTTAGGTCTTTAAAATGATTTTGAGTTTTATTTTTGTATATGGTGTGAGGGAATGTTCTAATTTCACTGGTTTACATATAAGCAGTACAGCTTTCCCAGCACCACTTGTTGAAGACACTGTCTTTTCTGCACTGTACATTCCTGCCTGCGTTGTCATATACTAATTGACCACAGGTGCGTGGCTTTATTTCTGGACTCTCTGTTCTGTTCTGCTGACCTGTTTTTGTGCCAGTACTACTCTGTTTTGATTACAGAGTAATCATAGATCTTGTATGTTGCTTTTATTTGTTTTTCATTTGTCTTTCTGTCTGCTGTTCTGATTGGGTGATTTTCATTATTCTATCTTTCAGATCACTTATGTGTTCTTCTGTGTCATTTAGTTGGCTATCCATTGCTTTTAGATTGCATTTTATCTCAGAAATTGAATTCTACGTTTTTGATGGGTGCATCTTTTTAGTTTCTAGTTCCTTGTTACAGTGATCTGTGTTTCTTTTGATAAGCTTTCTTAATTTAGTCAGCATTTTTATTACCATCTTTTTGAACTTGGAATCTGGTAGACTGGTGAGCTCTTGTTTCATTATTTGTTCTTTCAAGGGATTTTTCTTGCTCTTTTTATTGGGACCAGTTCCTCTGTCTTTTCATTTTACTTAACTGTTTTTCTCCTGCTTTCATAGAGACAGAGAAAGTTATCTACCGGACTTGAAAGAGTGTTTTTATGTGGGAGCATCCCCGTGTAGACTGTTTGTGTCCAGTATTTTTGGTGCGAGGGTT